ATTAACATGGCGAAACAATAATTATTTGTAGACTGAAAATTTTGTGAGATGATGCATTTTTTGGATTGTGATTTTTAGCAAAAATTTTTTTACTTTTTTCGTAAACGTATTTTTCAATTGTTTTTTTTTTTATCTCATATACATTAAATCGTTACAATACATTTTCTGTAAAAATTCCTAAAAATAGAAATCAAAACGGAAAGATTTCAAACTAGTCAGGTTTATAAACATTCTAGGCTCGATTTCTGTGAAGGTTGAACCCTGAGGAATAAGAAATTCTAAACTCAAATTCCCCTATCTTTTTCTCGTTTCTTAAATCCCATCATTCCCTTGTCGGAAAAAATATTTTTAAAAGAAAGAGTTCCGTTTTTGTGTATATGTTGCTGGAATAATTATCTAATTGTCATTTTTGTGAGTGATGCTAACCAGCAAAAAAGAAAAAGCCTTTAGCAAACTCATGTTTTGTCTAGGTTTTGTCATAAAACTCTTAATTTCCATTGGAAAAATAAAAAGATAAACATGCATAATGGGCAAAAATTACTCATCCTAACGCCAGAATAGACTGTTAACATGTTTTTCAACGATATACATATACATATACATATACTCTGTGTGTGTGTGTGTGTTGTGGGGGGGGGGGGGGGCTCTGACAAAATGATCTACTAATAAAAATCAGTAACAAGGAGAATATTCCTTAAAACAAGGCAAATGAGTCTTACAAACTAAATTAATCTCGGTAGGCTAGCATGATGCCTTTGGTTGAAACAAAATTTTCTTACATCAATGGCGAATATTTGCTAGAACTGCTAATACCTTTCTTGGAAGACTATTTGATGCTTTGAATTTGCCATTCACATTTATATTTGTAATTTTGTAGAAGATCTCCAATATTCAAGCCAGTAGAGGTCAAGACTCAGGTACAAAGTACCATAACCAAGACAGCAACACCTACAAATTACAATGCACCTTGGGATTTTAACACAGATCTTGCTTCCAAGACCCAGTAATTGGCTAAACACCTTTCCTCAAAAAAAAGAAAAAAAAAAGGTTATTGGTTAAATAAAGCATTGTTATTGGCGCATGTTAGTCAAAGTCCCCGGAATCAGATTAATGTGCGCTTATCAACCGTTCAGCTGATCTTTCCCATGCAAGCACATTTTCCCGTGATTAAGCCAACCATCCTTGCGAAATCTTTACAGAACTTCACTGAATCAATAAGGAAAATTAGACCTCATTTAACAGTTCACGTAGACTTTGTGGTCACCAAATAATCATAATTATCGTTTGTGATATCAGATGACATCGGTTATCCGGTGAATTTCTTAGAAAAGATTTTTTAACGCGTGTCTATTACTATTAGTACGTCTGTATCACACCCATTCTATTAATATTATGATTCTCTCTCACATTTATATTTTTCTTATTTAAATCTATTTTTGTTATATAAAATTAACATCTGAACACCATCATAACGTGCTTATTATATTCATTAGATGAACCTTCCTTAGAATTCCCTATATTTTCTTATCCCAATAGTAATTACATTAACCTAATTTACGACTCCACCTATGGACCATATGATACAAGTAAAACCTCATAGCATAAGGGAGACAAAAAAAAAATAACGTTGGATAATGCAAATTATACTAGCACAATTACCTGGCAAATCGAGAACAAAAAACAAGGGGGACCTTTGTCTTTTACTCAATAACCAACCATGAATATTGAGCAACATAAATGGAATGAATTTTTTTCATCCTAATAATTTTTTCCCTCAATAATATTGAGGTAATAAACTTTGAATAGTTTCTCAATGTAAAAATGGATTTTATAGTGTTCCTAAAGCAATACCCGTCACAGTTTTGTTTACATCAATGCAACAACACATGATAGAAATCCTCAAGGGTCAACCTCATAAATTTTATTCCGAAATTTACCTATGGAGAGTGATTTTTTATTTAATCTTATCAATAGTTTATCGTTACCTTCCCGTTAATAATTATTATGTTTTTTCTACTACCAAACCATTTAAATATAATTTTGGTGGCACAGGTGGATAATGGGTAAAAAAAAAAAAAAAAGACAACGACCCCTCATTTGGTGGACGTTACCAAGATAGACGGTGAAGGCACTTCTTCTGTTGGATCCGAATTGAGCCCCAAATTAACGGCGTCAGAATCGGAGAGTGTTACCACGGGACCCACGTGGAAACGGCTAGTGGTCTGACGTGGAGGACATTCTGGCACGTCATCAGTCATACGACAAAATACTAAGTACGATCCTACTCTCCTCAGGCCTAACTAGCGGTTTATTTTCCAACGAATTTAATATTACCAGAACTCGCCACGTAGGATAAAACGCATCACTGCCACGCTCCTTTACACGCGTTCCTCGTTGGCTAGAGCGTTTTCCACTTTTTCTGGTCGTTCCATTAAATGCCCTTTGCCTCTGTTTCCGGTAAAACGCTTTGACGGTAGGGCAAATCTGTAGTTTTATTTAAAAGATGAGGTTACTTTTGGTATAAGGCGCACTAAGCCAAAATAGGGCGGCTCCTGGCCCGTTACCAGCTGTCCATTTCTTCAAGCTTTTTCTGGTTGGATGGATTTTGCTTTTACTATTTTTATGTAGGTTTATGAATTTTGGGTAAAGCTTATGATTTTCAAAAAGCAGTAATAATAATGTGAGAAAAGGTGTCCATCTTTCTATTTCAAAAGTCATTTTCTAACTTGGTGCTTTGGCCCTATTATTGCTTTCTTTCTTTTTGGTGTTAGTCCCACTTTGCCCCTACGTTCTCAAATAAATATAACTCTGTGTTGCAAAAGTTTTTTCTATTTGTATTTTAACAGGAAAAAGGAAATGGAGATTTGAACTCAAGATCTCTAATTTTTCGAGTTTCAATAATTACCATTAAATCTTTTAAATATGTTTTTTAGATAATTATAAGCAGATTTTCGAACCTTTTTTTCAAGATACAGACGCATTTATCAATAAAGATGTTATGATAAAATACTAAAAAAAAAAAAATCTCAAACAACGACCATCCAAACAGAGCAGTATATACATATGTATTCAAAAATAATCCGTGTAGATTCACTTTTGTCACGATTTTGTTACTTTATCACTCTTTGAAGGCATTAAGATTTGAATAGGTTGCTTTATTCATGTTCTAGCTTGAAAGCTTCAAAGGGGGATAAAGGGACAAAAAATGGATGTAAAAGTGGAAAAAAGACAAGTCATTCCATTTGTTTTAACCCATCTTTTCTGGCAGACAATTGATATATTCTTTCTATACTATTTGTCTCCTCTTTACTCTTAGTATCGTAGTGATTAAGAGAATAACTTTAATCAATCTTTGCTTAGAAGTCTCTCGATTCAACGAGTCACTGATGGTTATTATTCCAATTTTAACTTAGTGAAATCCTTAAAAGTATGCAATACATCCAAGGTTATGCCTTTAGTTTGTAACTCGGTTTGACAACAAAGTGCAACCTAATTTGTAAAATGCTTTACTTGTAATTGATAACAAATCATGGATTCGAATCATCAAGGATAAGTCGAGAACCATTGTTAATTCTGTTTGGTGTGCACAATTATTTGGTGGATATAATACGAACTTCTAATACATCATCAGTTTTTAAAATATGTATGATTCTCGATTTTCCACATAGATGTCCAAGGGAAAATATTCGTTTTAATTTCAACGATGATATAATAAAACAAAAAGGCGACGAGAAAGACTTTTATTATGATAAGTGATTAGATTTAATTCACTCATGAGACCTCACTCTAATGCCTAATGGCACACACAACATGACTACACTGTTCCTAAAGCAAAAAACTAGTAATTAGTGGTTCAATTTACTGTTACTCACTAAATTCTAGTTAACTTTTTTTAATCATGTGTATTTATTTATTTAGTCGTAAATACTAAATACTAACCAAACAAGGATGAATCCTTCTCACTTAAGTATAGTTTTTTCACGTAACAATATGAATTCATATTATTCTACCCAGCATAAGAACAACATAAGAACCTATATGCAATATATGTACACGTACAAACATAACAAATGGGTCTATTTAGTTAGACACTTGCTAAGATGTAGTTCAGGTGTTAAATTTTTAAAAAATAAAAATAATTAGAAAAAGTGTGTAAATATAAAGAATTATTATTATTATTATTATGTACATTCACACAATAAGCTAAGTGTGATTTAAGTATGCTAACGACGGTCTATTGGACATTCATTACAAAAATCCATCTAAAAAGTATTGAAACATTTCACGTAAACTTATTGAAATTTGTCTCACCACAAAAGTTTTTAAAAAAATCAATGTTACATAAAAACACGTGCGACTATGATTTATTGCCACAAAATCACTTTTTAACTTCCTCTATTTCGACTAAAAATTAATTAGAAAAATTTTTAAAATGAACATCTTTTGCAATGTGGCATACGTAGATAAAAAGATAATTAAAGAATAAAAATAATTAAAAAATATGTTTGTGATGTCAAAATATCTTTCTTTCAAGTAACTCTAAATCCAAATGCATGTCCATTTGTTTGTCCAACTTATGAATTGATTTTTACCAAGTACACAGTAGTTAGTAAGTCCCAAATTAAAAAATTAGCAAAGCACTTTTCACTAAATAAATAATACTAATGTAAAATACTACTAAAACATCTCTATTTTCTCAACTGAAATTTTGTCTATGCTTTTGAACAGTTCACAAGTATCACCTTTCAGTCTCAGCACCCAATAAAATCACCCGCTGTTGTCTCCCATGTCATTAGCCTTGTCACTCTTCTCTTTCTCTTCACTTCCATAGAGATTGAGACTCTGTTTTCACTCCTTTTCAGTCACTCTTCATATCATCTCCTCTCTCTCACATTTGCTTCCTCAGTACGACTCTTTTACACACACATCACACACTGAACACCCCAAGAAACACCTGGAACGATTTCACTTATACAGACAAACTGATCACAGAAAAGCTCTTTATATATATGAAAAAAAGGACAAAAGAATGGTGAATTTTCATCTGGGATTTTTTGCATTAACCACCTTCATTGTTTTGGTTTGTGGGGCTTCGAAAAACCTTCCGATTCTTTCATTTGATGAAGGGTACTCTCAGCTTTTTGGTGATGATAATCTTATGGTCGTTAAAGATGGAAAATCAGTTCATCTTACTTTAGATGAAAGAACAGGTCAATTCTTCTTAATTGTTTTATTGGATTTCTAAGAAATGGTTCTGTGGCTTTCCTTTGACCTTTTTCCCCCTTTGTTGCACTGGTTTGTTGTGATTACAGGTTCTGGATTTGTGTCACAAGACATTTATTCACAGGGATTCTTCAGTGCTTCTATTAAGCTTCCAGCAGATTACACGGCTGGCGTTGTTGTAGCATTTTATGTAAGTTTTTCCTTGATCAAGCTGAAGAATCCCACATAACCTTGTGATCAAGGGTACAACTTTAGAGACTCACCCTCTTAGACTCTCGTCATGGTTCATCCTTCTCATTCTTATAAAGAAAATAAAATAAAAAGAAGCCCAGATTGGATTTTCTTGATCATATTTTCTCCATGGAGTTTCTTGATTTTCATAATTTTACTGAAAATTTTTCAATTTTTGGGATTATAAATTGAAAAACCGTTCAAAACGTCCCTCACACTTTGCAAAATAACTTTTTTCATCCCTCACTTTTAAAAATGTAATTTTACGTCCCTTACAAATTTACATTGGTCAAATTTGAACCCTACTTAGGTTTCCGACTAGTTTTTGGTCGGAATTCACCACGTGCCTTGCACGTGATCATACTTTAAGGGCAAAATTGTCAAATCAAATTTTATATAATTCCCTCACATTTCATAAAATAAATTTTTTCGTCCCTTATATTTCATAAAATGAAAATTTTCATCTTCACATTTTTCAAAATGAATTTTTTCATCTTTTATTGATCATGTGTGTGAATAATATTTTTTAAATTCATATATATATTTATTTGATTTCACCTAAACAATACGAATAGCATGTGAAATCAAATAGAGATATATTACATACTATTCGTACTGCGTAAGTGAAATCAAATAGATATATACATGAGTTTAAAAAAAATTGTTAGTTTTTCGCTTATATTCATTTTCTTTTACTCGAAATTTGAAAATAAAGAAAACATTTAATCCTAAATATTATCGAGTGTTTATATCGAATTAAATTTGGATAGAAAAAGTAAACAAAAGAAAAGTATGACAAAAAGAAATAAGCGATTGGCACTTTCAAATTTTAAAACAATCACAAGACAAGTAATTCAAGTGTTGGTTTTAAAAATGTCGAATAGAAATTTCAGATTTAAACTGAAATTTATTAGCACAATTATAGAATTCAAGTTAGGACTCATTAATTAGATGACCTTATTATACATCTCAATAAATAAATTATTACCAAAAGAGAAAGGTCACAAATATTGAATAGGTTCAAATGGTGAAATCATATAAATATATACATGGGTTTCAAACAAAATTATTAGTTTTAAACCCCTATATATATTTATTGAATTACATGTGTACAACTACAATTAGCATGTTTAGATGAAATCCAATAGAGATAAATTACATGTTATTCATACTGTTCAGATAAAATCAAATAGATATATACGTGGATTTATAGAAAAAAAGCTATTCGTACAAATGATCAATGAGGGATAAAAAAATTTCATTTTGAAAAATGTAAGAGATGGAAAAATTCATTTTTTGAAATGTGAGAAACGAAACAATTCATTTTGTAAAATGTTAGGGTCGAAAAAATTTATTTTGTGAAATGTGAGGGACTATGAATCAAATTATGTAAAAATTTGATTTGACAATTTTGTCCTTAAAAAATGATCACATGCAACTCACGTGGTGGATTCCGGTCAAAAACTAGTCGGAAACCTAAGTAGGGACCAAATTTGGTCAATGTGAATTTATAAGGGACGTAAAATTACACTTTTAAAAGTGAGGGACGAAAAAAGTCATCTTGTAAAATGTGAGGAACGTTTTGAACGATTTTTCCATTATAAATTATATGCAATTTTTTTTTTCCAAAGAGGCAAGGTCTTTTTCTAATTTTCCTTTTGGGTTAATCACATTTTGTCCCCTTAAAAAATACCCAATTTTTCAGTTTACCCCCTAACATTTAATTTTGCTCACTTAACCCCCTTCAGGACAAAATTGCCCTTGCATTATTTTGACTTTTCATTTACCTTGTTTTCCTTTCTTTTATTTCTTTTTCTCTTTCTTCTTTATTTAATTTTTCCTCTTTCCCACAAAAATCTTCGCCTTAATGATTGAAATTAAAAAAGAAGAATTGCAGAGATCTATCTTCTCATTAAATGATTAAAAAAGATATTCAAATCACTTTTCTAAAATACAATTTTTTTTAGCCTTTCAATTCTTTTAATTTTGAATTTTCCTCTTTCCTTTCTAGTTTCTAATTTTATTCTCAAGAAAATATCATAAGATGAAATTGTTTTTGACAGGTGCCGAACTTGTGCAATAATAAATACCTACTCGAGAAAAATACAAATTTTGTATATAGCGGTGAGTAGGGTCGAATCCACAGGGACTGGGGATAATTCGTTTCTTCTAGAGTCCAAAGTATGGGGGGTTTTGGATTAAATGCTAACTAAATAAATTAACTGCAGAAAATAATTAATTAAAAGAAATGATTGGGGAAACTCTAGCCAAGGGTACACTTCAGAAATGGTTCAGGCACTGATCATTGATGTAGAAATAATTCCAACATTTAGCAATAGATTAGTTATAGTTATGCACGCGATAAACAACCAACCCTTCCTTAATTTCTCGATAGCTAAGGTACGACCGTTAGCTATTTCTCTAACCCAAAAATAACCCTAGGTACGACCGTAGGATTTAATTTCTAGATTGCATTAATAATTAGAAAGACCCAATCCTAACCAACAAACACGCTACGAGGGTTTGTTTAAATTAGATCATATGCTCCCCTGACATAAACCCAATTACGCCAGTTGCTACTGAGGTAGAGATAACGAACAATTACGGATTCAATTACCCCTATTTAGCAAAAATAGCCTATATGAATAATTAATTATTGCGCACTAATTAATCATACACAAGGCCATAGCAATTAAAATCAAGGAACATATAAATACCAATAAATGAAGAAAATAATTAAAACAGATTCGATCTCACAGTAGTTGTCGAACCAAATCGTCAGTTGTCCCCTTGACTAGAAAAGCTTAACCACGCCTCATGAGAAAATCTCCCCGTTGGGGAATATTGTCGAACACCTGGCGTGTGTCAGAAGCCAGTCTAAGGAAAGAAAGAAAAGAAACTAAAACTAAACTAAAACTAGAGATTGATTCCCGTTCTCAGTACGTTTGTCTCCCTTTTTAAAGCCAAAAGGAAGTCTAATGCTATCTAGTGGTCCCCACACATGTGGACAAAGCCTCCAAAATACTTGTTGTTCCAAGTCTCTCTAAGTTGCTTTCTTTGAAAAGCCCAAATGACTAAATGCCTTGCACTAGCTTGTGGTCCCCACCAATTCAAGGACCCAAAGGTTGAAGCCCTTAGAAGTCTGCATTTTTCCATACAAGTCCCTCCTTTTAGGTAATTTTCTGTTTCACTTCCTGAAATTGAGTCCAATACCAAATATAAGTAAATATTAATAATTAAAACAATATTTGGCAAGGATAAAGGGGAAAATTAACAATAAAATAACCAACAATTAACACCCTATCAATTCCCCCCACACCTAAATCATGCTTGTCCTCAAGCATAAGAACAGCAATTGAACACCAAAATTTGACTATGGCTATTGCTCTAACTATCATATTGCCAAAATACCCAGAAAAACATATATCAAGCATCACAGTTAAGATCCAAGAAAAACCACTCCGGTTAGCTTCCCAACCACCAACTCCTCCAATTTAAAGCAAACTAATCTAAGGAAAAGGAATGGTTGCTCACATTTATCAGTAAATGGTCCAGCTATTAACCAAAATCTCGACATTAAGATCACAAACCGACAAGCTGAATTATTCACATACTAACACAATCTTTATTTTATTTTTTTCCTTTTCGTTTTGTTTTTGTTTCTTTTCCTTTTTTTTTTTCCTTTTTGAATAACAAAAGACTTAGTCTATAGCCCTTAGAACCTTTTGACGCGAACTCCAACATTTGATAGATGGAGAAGCCCGGTTACTCAGCTCCAATTGCTACGGGACCACGCACTCATAATAACTACTACCTTTTGACGCGAGAATCGACACTTTAGGTGAAGATCTCCGGTTACTCAGTAGTAACTACTAGCGGAGTACAGTCAATTCTTATTTATATCCATATAGCACGATATCTAAAAATAACACAAAAATAACAGCAGCCAGCCTCAAATTTCCACACATGGAGAACTAAAATTAATAATTGGACCAATTCACATGAAAAAAAAATGCCAACAATCATTCCCTATGCCTAGAAAAGTTAACCAAAAATTGAAAAAGTTAAGCAATTATTGATATTCACCAAAGAGATGTTCCTGAACCCAACCATATCAACTTGATACCCTTTTATTATATAAAACTTGGCAATAGCAGAATTAGAGACAACAATCCGGTATCAAAACTTGGTATTCATATGAAGACTGACCACTAGAAGAAAATAAGAAAAGAAAATAAACGAAAAAAAAGAAGCTAAAAATAAAGGAAAAGCCCTTAGAAACTAAAAATAAAAATACTAGCACCACAACGATCCCCCCCACACCTAATTCACACATTGCCCTCAATGTGATAAATAAATAGTAATAGCAAGGCGAAAGGCAACGGAACTTCCCTGAAAGTCGTCAAAATAGGGGCGGATCGGGCGGGAACTGAGGAGCAGGACCTGCATGGTGCATAGATGCTGCCAAATTCTGCGCCATGTGAGGTTCTAGGTGTCCTAGACCTAGAAGATGACCATGGCCTCACCATTGGTTCTAAAGATCACTCCACTTGACAAGAGACAACAATGGCCAACAAATAATGGAAACAGGAAATTCAAAGCAATAAGAATTGAAAAGCCAACCCAACGAATAAAATGCACAATTCAACAACCCAGAGGTCATACAAATACCCCAACACTTATAGCAAATGCAATCAATAAGTACTTATGGACCCCATGTAGTCAAATTCAGAATTAAGGTCGTCCAAAGTGCAACAACTGCTCTAAATACCCCAAGTAAGTCAATTAAAGGCAACCGACTTCAACAAGCAAATGCAAACTGCACATTCATGCCCCAATTCAACAAAGAAACGCAGAAAAGTAGCCACAATACTAGAGCACAGCTCCCAATAATGCAACAGAACAGCAACTCGAACAAACTAGGAACTGTGCTAGTGTCTTAATAAATCAACAACTTTC